TCCTACCCTCCATAAACTTCTTAAACCACTCGAAAACTTGCGTGCGAGATAGACACTGATCACCATATACTTCTGTCAACAAATTGTAAGTTTCAGTGGCAGATTTTCCAAGTTTTGTGAGGAATTTGATGTTAGCACGTTGTTCTGCATTAGCACTCAGCATTATTCCGACGGAGCTCAGAAACACGATCCGCTTCTAACAATGGTCGCGGCCAGACTAACCGATGCACGTGAATGAAACTTTGTGTGACGGTAGAGGGAAGTCCAAGGGTCAATGCCCTACCCTCCTCTTCGTCAATGACGTGGCCGGAAATGAGTCATAAAAGTAATCCGGGTTCTTTATTGCCACACCTTGTACACTGATTTCAGAGTGCCTTTACATCATCCACCACACCCATTGCTGTTTGGTGAGAAGAACATTAACCTAGTCCAAGTCCAAGTCACATTGCGACTGATGTTCAGTCAGTAAGTAAATCTTGGCTCTGAGCCTCATTTGGGGCTCCTGACCAGATATTTATTACTGTTTGACAGTTACGGTCTTCTTTTGTGGGGCGCCCTCTCTGATAAGAGGACGGGTCTGTCTTTCGCATATGCTGCTGGCCCTTGGCAGCACAGTCTTTCTCCGGTTTGAGTCCCTTGGTACTCACGACCATATTTTACTGTCTCAGATCTGAGACTTCTGTTTTTGTCGCCTCCCACAACTCACAGGGTCACGGTGGAGGTATTTGTCCCTGCCTCCACACAAGTGATTTTAACCTAGAATGTCTGAATGGGGAATCAATTCACGAGTGACAGCATCACTGCCACTTGAAACCTGTTTTGCTAAGGGAATTTAGCATATGGATATTAAAGTATGTTCAAAACAGAATCTAGTAACTTATCACTGACCACAGAATTATTTATGTCAATGACTTTCCCTGGTTTGTGACACATATTATGAATATCAGAATCTGTGTATGAGGATAGACATGGATCTTGTGCTCAAACAAGGCACTTTATGTTCATAAAAGTATCTAAAGAACACTGCTTCGGAATCTGCATCTGTTTCTGTCCTCAGGTGAGGTGGAGTGGAAAACATATTCTCTGTTGGATCTGTTTGAAAGTGATTCTTCATTTGTGTTTAAAAGTTTGGTTTTTGGTTTGTTGCATTTGTTTTCCACTTCCATTTCCATCTTAGTTTCATTTCTGTACATGCATTATCACAAATATTACCGTACAATATTCTTGTATCTCCCACTGATATATCCTGATTTCAGGTGACCAATTCTAATTCTAATTCTAATTCTAATTCTAATTCTAATGGACCACACATAGTAGGTGTCTCACACTTCCTCGCCTGAAGATGGGAACAGATCTAGTTTTCGAAACATTGTGTTCTTTAGAATATTAGACAATGGACGAAGTCCAAAAACCCAGTAATTCTGAGCATTATACATGATTATCAGAACCCTTTATAATCAACTATCATCAATGAATTGAGATCTGTGCTCAACAATTCACAATCATGCTCTTACAAAAAGACCACCTTTGATGTGCTAACTCTTCACTTGATCTGTGTCACATCTATTGTTCAGCAATCCAAAAATCTGGAATCTGGGCTCTGGTTTTGACTGGATCCTCCATTTCATAAAAAAAATAAAAATACTTTAACATAGTGTGTCTGTTTAATAACTGTTCCTAATTTGATCTGTCATCTGAACAGGCAATTTCAAGCCGGTGTTTCTTTACAAAGTGCTCAATACGGTTTTCCAGGCTACCTGTAAAGAATATACATAATTTTATTTTAATTCAAAACAATTTTAAAGTGAGAAAAAGATCAGCACTAATTGATACTGTCACATGTATTAATGACTAAAGATGGAGTTCGGATTGGCATCTGGATTTATTAACCACCTACAGGTTGTACTTGAATGAATTAATGAATGAATGTATAAGGGGTGGGCCTTCTCGGCCCTTGCAGTGTGACCTACAGTGACCTATGGTGCTTCCCCTTTCGATTATTCCCTAACCAATCCTGCACTTTGAACAAAGCGCAGGATTTTGTACATGGGGGCATCGAAATAGTCACTTGGTTCCATAAAGTATTGACCCAAGTGACATCATCTTAAATAAGCTAAGGCCTCACATTCACACAGGATATGTGTGACTGTTTCATTTTCTTCTTGACACCTCACACAACTGGGATTATTACTTAGTCCCAGTTTGAAGAGGTGTCCTTTAAGGTGACATAGTCCTGTAAGTAGTACCACCACCCATCATAGCTGGTTCCTGTTTAACTTCAACAGTTCCTTCGCTCTTTTAGATGAGGGTCGTCGTATAAGTCCCTTTGCTTGCTTGAGTCCCGTCAAAGATCCCCAGTATTTCTTGTGTTTCATGTTTGTCCAGTCCCTGATTGCCTTTCTAATGACTCCTACAGAGATGCCAGAGGCAGGTTCAGGTCCTATGAACGGATGTTCAGCTCCAATCTTAGCTAACTGGTCTGCTGTTTCGTTTCCAGCAATACCCTCAAGCCCCGGCACCCATATCAGTTGTACCCTGTTATGTTTGGCCAGATCCATGAGGGTTTGATGGCAATCCCAGACCAATTTTGAGTTGATCTGGTGTTTGTCAAGCTCTTTTAGTGCAGCTTGGCTGTCAGATAGAATGTAGATGTTCCTATTTCTGTAGTACCTATCTAGATTCTCCATAATACATGCCTTAATGGCATATACTTCTTCTTGGAATACCGTTTTGTACTGCCCAAGGCTGAAACTAAGTTTCCGCCTCATGCCATAGCAGTACACACCAGCTCCAGTGATCTTATTTATCTTGGAACCATCTGTATACCAGATCAGTCCCCCTTTTCTATCGGGCCGAAACCTGTCTTCCCATTCACTCCTGTCAGGAAATCTGACTGTGAAGGGTTTTTCATATACATGTCTCAGTATCATTTTGTCAGACCCCATTTGTAATATGGGTTCTTTTTTCATGTCCTGAGTTATGTATGCATCTCCGAAACCATTGGATCTAGGTTTCTACACGTTGTACTTACTTACTTACTAACAGAGCTGAGCCCTCCTGGAGGAGCTGCCAATTCTGCAGCTACCCAAGAATTTCCCAGCATTTTATGGAACCCAAAGGTTCATTACCGTGTTCACAAGAGCCCTCCACTTGTCCCTGTCCTAAGCCAGATCAATCCAATCCAATCCATACCATCCCATCCTATCTCTCTAAGATCCATTTCAATACTGTCCACCCACCTATGCCTTGGTCTTCCCAGTGGTCTCTTTCCTTCTGGCTTTCCCCTCAATATCCTATATGCATTTGTCTCCCCCATTCATGCTATATGCCCTGCCCCCTCATCCTCCTTGACTTGATCATTCTAATTATCCTTGGAGAAGAGTACAAGTTATGAAGCTCCTCATTGACCTACAGGTTGTAACTACAAATAATTGCACTATTGCTGATTTACACAATTTACAATCATTCCACACTAAGTCTTCTAATTTTTCTTCTGGCCACGCTGCTGTTCCCTTGGAACTTCGGAACTCAAGTGAAGTCACTTCCCATTCCTGTATTCTCTTATATCCTCTTGGCACGAACCAAGCACAGAAAACACAGCCCCTCTATTGTTGTGTGATGCGGACCACACAGAAAACACCTTTCTTCTACTGTTGTGTGACATCACTGTATATGCATTAACATCTTTACTGAGACGCTGCCTGGCAAGGTGTCACAATTCAGTACATTAAATGACTGGACTGTCAGAGCAGAGTACTGAAATAAGGGAGGTTATGATGAGCTCAGTGTATGTCTCAAATTGGGAGGAAGCCACAGAAACTTCTTACCAAGCATAAAACTGTCCTTCCCACTGCCTTCATACATAAACTGACTTCTTACCACAGTAAACCACCTTACCTCTATGGACTTCCAGAGATACACAAACCTGATAACCCCCTCAGACCAACTGTTAGTTCTGTTGGTTCTCCCTGTTATGTCCTAGCAGATTTTCCCTGTAAGATCCTGAGCCCTCTGGTTGGCAATTCAGATACCTTTATGAAGAACTCGGAACACTTCATAAAATTAATACAGACCAACATTCAAAATGAAGACTGCCTTATAAGCTTAGGTACTGTCAGTTTATTCACTGAAGTACCAGTGGAAGAAGTCTTACAGGTCACAAGAAACAGACTCAACATGAATCTTTCTTTCCCAGAACGCTCACCTTTACAAGTTGAAGACATAATGGAATTACTGGACGTCTGTTTATCAACCGCATACTTCCAGTTTGAGGATAAATTCCAAAAAGAGGCTATGGTAATGGGAAACGCCCCATCTCTGATGGTCAGCAATATATTTATGGAACAGCCTGAGGAAACAGCACTGGATACAGACCACCACAAACCCACTGAATGGCTCAAATAAGTCGATGACACTTTCGCAGTTTGGCCATTGGACTAACAAGATTGCAGCAATTTTTTCACCTTCTCAACAACCTACCATCATATTCACATAGGAAGTTAAAGCTAATGATAATCTTCCATTCTTGGATGTCTTGGTCTTGAAGATGGGTCCTAAATTGGCCATGGAAGTGTACCAGAAACCTACCCATACAGGATCAAGTTCAACCACCCATATCATGGATCAGTACAGCCAAGGTCATATGTCATGACTGGAAATATTCCAACAAGGAAATTAAGAACACGATCTGATACTATGAATTTTTTTTTCTTGGCACTACAGCCCCAGTGGGCCTAGGCCTACCTCCATGAACTTCTCCGTTCACAATACTATGAATATCGACAAGAATTCATTGATGCCATAATGAAGCCATCGAGAAGCAACCATCCTTCAGAGACAATATACACACATGCACACTAGGGGAACCATATTTCAACATAGAAGACAGCAGCTTCCTCAGCCACAACTTTTAACACCTGATGATGACCACTTCGGTCAAAACATGTTGTGAAAAATTTACTGACTAGCTCTTATTAAGTTTTAATAAATTGTTGCACATAAAACTGTAGAACTAATTAAAAACACTAAGATGAAACAAAGTATCCCACATGATTGTGGCAGATGTTACATTGGCAAAACAAGCAGACCTTTAGAAGTATGCATTAAGAAGCACAAATATAACCTGAACCAAGGTCTTTCTGAAAATCGAAATTAGCCTAACATGCATATGAAGAATGCTCCAGAATATGTTGCAAATAAGCAAAAGTCTTAAAAAATGGAACTAAATGCCACCTACAGAAAATACAAGGAACCTGCCCTGCCCATATATCTGTGGTAGCACATCCAATCAGCAAATCCAGCTTGGACATCTCTCCCATTTGGACTCCCATTACTGCAGCTGAAGTCAGAAAACTACAAATCTGTCCAGTGTGGATTATATGTGAAAGTTGTGTTTTTATATTGATACCATAGGGAGAATTTCTCTCTTTACTGATGACTTCTATCCTGATAGTATGTGATTTTAACAACAGCAACCCTGAACTAGTCCATGGACATAGGTTCTAGGCCTCATGTGGTATTTTTTTTATGTTTATGGATTATAGTGTGCTCGGTTTATACATCCTGTCTTGTGTTGGTGCCTGGGTTTGATCCCAGGTCTGGTCAAGTGGGATTTGTGGTGGACAAAGTGGCGGTGGGTCGGGTTTTCTAGGAATACTTCAGTTTCCCTTGCCAATCTTCATTCCACCAAATTCTCCATCATCACAATCACCCGGGGCAAGTACAATAGGCCAATCAGTGGCTGCCATGCTGAGTGGACCCAGTCGGATTCCACCACCACTAAGTGAATTGGGATTAAGTCTACTGATTGGGGCCAACTGATGACAGACAGAATTCAGTTTCCAAAATGCTGTGCTTTATGTGGGAAGGGGTGGGACAGGATGATGGATAATGTCCAATAACTATAACTGTAAAATTTAACATAATGAACCATCTACTGAACTGAAGTCAATTTAAATTGGAAGTGAAGTTCTATTAAGAAGGAGCAGCTGACCAGAGAAGAAACTGTACTGCTATTTGAATGCTACATGGTTGACAGATGACATACAATTATTGCCTGTGCAAATTAAGGTTACTGAAGCACAATACTTACTGCATGTTGGTCTCTGGAACAGAGGTTGATACCCTTTGGCCTGAATTCCTTGCAGAAGACAGCTACTCTGCTCCTGTATATCACCACCATCAGACAGCATCCCTTGGCATTCCAACAGCATTGATCTTATCATTGTGGATCTGTAACAGGCAGTGAGAAGTTCGATGGACTACACTTCTAGTGTGCACTTCTAGTGCCAGGTGAAAGTGTGCGCTCACACCAAAACTGTAATAAAAAATGTAATACTATCCCTCTAACAGGCCATGAAGGCCCATCAGGGTGTAAGAGGTCGAGGCTCCCACATCTTCTAGACAATCGGCTCATAGATGGTGGTAAGGCTATCATCCTTACATGCTGGCTGCCCTTTACCCCCCACCTTTCCAGGAAAATTCCTGGTACTAATTTCTGTTACAGGCTGAGTTGACCCCAGGGCCATAGTGCTGGAAGGATTAGGTCAAATGAAAAATCCAATTACCTCATAAGGATTCAATCCTATGACCTCCTGGCTTGTAGCATAGTACCTCAACCAATTACGCTACCGCATGCCCCCACCAAACCGTATGATCAGGTAAGTTGTTACTGTGGAGGCTAAACTCCACTACTTAGCAAGTTTTTCCACATAATGACAGTCATTCATCATAACTGAAGTGTCCTTTATATCTCATTCAGAATGCTTTAACCATTTATAGTCATTTTTTTCCTGTTTCTGCATACACAGAAATTTGTCTTGAACTTTATTTTGGTGTAGGCCAAGCTACATTTTTGTTGCAAGCAACAAAATGGAATGACAGTCCAAACAAACAAATTTTAGGCACAAAACACTGAACAACTGCTATGTCAATTAAGATAGTGGAAGGAGTGAATTACTGTACAAATTTACAAGAAGGGCAATAAAACTGACAGTAGTAAGTATCAAAGCTTATCACTGTTCAATTGAGTTTTTGGACATGATCCATTATCCTGTTTTTTCTATTTAAAACACAATGTTTCAGAGACTGGCTTCTGTCCCTGTCTTCATGTAGAAGCCTACTTAATTGGGCCCAACTGGTAGACCTGATAATGTCCAAAACCTCAATAACTGTATTAAATATATTGTAACGTGTCATAAACTTCAGGTCTTACATATCCCTGTTATCAGCTTCATTCAAAATATTATCCAATGTCCTCTCAAGGGTGAGTGCATATGTAGATTAAATTACTGGGGATCACCAGAGTGGGTTTCGATGTAACACATCAACTACTGGTCAAATCTTATGCATTCATCAGAGACTGGAGAAATAATGGGAATAAAATGAGACAATACATCAGCTATTCATAGACTTCAAGACGGCCTATGATTCAGAACTCTACAATATTCTCATTGAATCTTCGGGTACCCATGAAACTAGTTATGTTTATTAAAATGTGTTTAAATCAAACCTATATTAAAGTCCACATAGGTAATTGGGAGATGAGGAATGCGTATAGGATACTGGTGAGAAAGCCAGAAGGAAAAAGACCACTGGGAAGACCAAGGTGTATGTGTGTGGAAAATATTAAAATGGATCTTAGAGAGATAGGATGGGATGGTATTGATTGGATTGATCTGGCCCAGGATAGGGACCATTGGAGGGCTCTTGTGAACACGGTAATGAACCTTCGGATTCCATAAAATGCTGGGAAATTCTTGAGTAGCTGCAGAATTGGTGGCTCCTCCAGAAGGGCTCAGCTCCATGAGTACGTAAGTAAGTAAGTAAGTATAGATAATCATTTGTCTGACATGTTTCCTATTCAAAATGGTCTAAACCAGGGAGATGCTTGATTGGCACTGCTTTTCAACTCTGCTTTAGAATATGCCTTAGAAGGCCCAAGAAAACCAGGTGGAACTGAAATTGAATGGGACATGTCAGCTGCTGGTGTATGCTGATGATGTGAATTTATAGGGAGGTAACACAAATGCTATAAAAAACAGAAACTTTAACGCTAATAAGGAGGTTGGTCTAGAAGTAAATCCAGAAAAAACTAAGTGTATGTTGCTGTCTCATCACTGGAATCTGGGGCAAAATCATAACATAAAGACAGCTAACAGATCCTTTGAAAAACATGGCACAGTTACGTAGAAGTCAAATGAAAACCACAAAAATGAGATAAAAATTTGAAATATCATGCTATTGTCCTATAAGTTGGCAGACATGTTACCAATGCTATAAAGAGTGTCCTATAGGTGGAAGTATAATGTAGACAAACAGAATGCCATCACAGTGCTGCTGAAGATGGCTGCTCCACTACGTACATGCATGAAAGAACAACAATGTTCTGTAATTCGTTTTTTGATCAGTGAAGGTGTGAAACCAATTGAAATTCATCAACAGATGAAGATTCAGTATTGTGGTGCATCATGCTCGTCACAGCAGCAAGTGTACAAGTGGAGTAGGAAATACAGAAATGGTGTGACATCTGTGGCAGATGCTCCTCGCCCGGGTCAGGTGCAACAGAGTTGTGACCCCTGACTTTATAGCAGCAACTGAAGTCCTAGTGATGGAGAATCACTGAGTGTCGGTGAATGAAATAGATGAAATTCTTAACATGAGTCACGGATCAGCACACCATTTCATTCATGATATGTGTTCCAGTTTTACAAAGTGTCTGCAAGGTGGGTGCCACAGCAGCTGACTCCAGAATTGAAATCACGTGCTGATGACTGTGAACAACTTCTGCAGCACCTTGAAGCAAGTGATGGCTTCTTTTCATGAATCGTTACTGGCGATGAAACTTGGGTGCACTACCACCAACTGGAAACAAAAAGAATGAGCAAGGAATGGCGTCATTCCTCATCACCAAAACCCAAGAAGTTCTGGACAGAGCCATCTGCAGGGAAGATTATGCTTTCTTTTGGGACAAACGAGGTGTACTTTTGGAGCACTACACACATCAGGGGAACACTACCACCAGTGCCTCATGTTCAGATCTCTTGAAGAATCATCTTCGATCTGAAGTCGGATCAAAGTGACGTGGACTTTTGACTAGAGGTGTCCTTTTGCAACATGACAATGCTCAGCCCCATACTTCCCATGCAACAGTTGTAACAATCCAAGATTTGCACTCTGAGTGACTTCCACACCTGCCACACTCACCAGACCTAGCCCCAGGTGATTACCACATTTCTGGGCCACTCAAAGAGGCGATGGGAGGAAATAAGTTCTGTTCTGATGAAGAGGTACAGCAGGCAGTGCACGAGTGGTTGCGCAGACAACCACAAGATTTTTTTCTAGAGGAATCCATACACTTTGTAAATGCTGGAGGGCCTGTACTGACTGAAATGGAGGCTATGTACAAAAATCATAGAGTTGTGTACCACTTTCATTCAATAAATTAAATTTTAAAAAATATTTACGGTTTTCATTTGACTCACCCTCGTATAATATATGGGAATGACAGTAAGAAATTAAATTTTATGAGGAGGAAATTAAGATTATACTGAATTTGCATAATGCTACCATTCAGTCTAGAACCTCGTCTTCTCATCTACTGTCTAAAAACGTAAAAATTAAGACATATAAAAGTATTTTGCATGTCATTTTGTATGGGTGTGAAATCTGGTCTGAGGGTGTTTGAGATCAGGGTGCTGAAAAGAGTATTTGGACTGAAGATGGGCGAAATGATTGAGGTTGGATAAAACTGTATAATGAGGAGCTTCATAATCTGTATACTTTGCCGGGGGGGAGGGGGCATACAGGCATGCAGACAGCAGACTTTATCAGTCACACTGAACGCAATTAATTATACTTTTGTAATATTGTTAGTGTGATGGACCAAAATGAAACAAATCAAATAAAAGTAGGCTTACAAGATCATCTTGCTGTCTGTATGACTGTGTGAGATGTTTTCTATGTGGTCTGCAATGCATCAAAGGAAAGTAGGTGATTAGTTGTTCTCGGAACTTCTTGCAAAATTACCCTCCCATATAGTTCCATCTACATCCAGATCATGAAGTGGTCACTTTAGTTTGGTTTTTCCAACTAAAATTTTCTATGAATTTATTATCACCCCCATGTGTGTGTTACATGCCCTGCCAATCTCACCCTTCTTGATTTGATGTCCCCAATATTTGGTAAGAAGTACAAATTAATGAAGTTCATTATGCAAATTTTCCTGGTCTCTCATTACTTTCTTCGCCTTAATACCTATAATCTCCTCAGCAGCCCATTCTGAAACACCCTCAGCCTGCATTCTTCCCTTAATGCATAAGACAAAGTTACACACCCATTCAAACAACAAGCAAAATTATAGTTCTGTATATTTTAATCTCTATACTTAAGCCACCTACATTGCAAAATATCGAAAGATGAACACAGAGCAATGGAACACAGCTACAGATGGAAAGGATATCAGGCATATAGAAATGGAGACCACTAAACCAAAGGCTTTCATATTACAAACAGATGAAGATTACGTACTTCACATTGTACATGGTCCACTCTTGCTGAAGGTGACGAATTACTCCAATCAGAACTTCTTTACTGATAACCCAGTCAGAGCACTCAAACTCACAATGGAAGAGATTCAAGGGAACATGGCTTGCTAGACAATACTGTGGCTTCCTGCAGCAAATATCAACACACAAGGTGACAGCACATTAAATTCAGTAGATATACATAAAATCCAAACTCAGTCTTGTTGAGGGAGGAAGCAGATCAGATTGGTATGAAGTCATATTTCTTATATATAGTCTGTACCCCACTGCTATACCGACTCTGATATCCCGGCTCCTTTTACACAGAGAATTTCATGAGTCCCTCCAGGATTTGCAAACTCGGCAACACAACACCCAAGACAGATACAGCAGAAAAGAGCACATCAATAGGTAGAGAATCTCTGCAAGTTTGTTTCGGTAATAGGTGCCATGGAATACTTGCAGGTTTCACCACTAGGGGCCAGTCATGGTGAAACATGGCGAGGACAGGAGATAAGAAAGAGATAAGAAAGGCACTGGGCAACTAACAGGCCAACATCATAACAAAAACACTGTGAATTTTGACTACTACTCACTGACTTCCTGACTGCTTGTTGTAAGAGAGACTGTGCATGACCCAAACTCATGGGACTGCTGATGGGTCACTGCCAACAGATCAACAACCCATTACATGTAAAGTGGAACCCCCAGTTCCCCAGTTCAACATTTTCCCTCATTTTAATGTTCCATTTCAATTATCCCTACTCATTACCATAATGTTATACTTCCTCATTTAAGATATTCCTCAGTTTAGAGCCCAAATCCAGTGACCTCCAAAGAAACCTTAAATGGGGTTTTCATTGTAATTACATTCATTCCAAACAATGTGACTGAACTACAGAGGCGAGAGATGCACTTACACAGGCATGAGAACATCATGAACATCCCTTCTTAAATCTTCTGCTTCCCCATCCAAGACTGCTCACCTACCAGTGCTTTGTCCAAACTGCCTTAACTGAACAGGGTCAAATACTAACATGCTGAGATAAAAAGGAAATTATCTTTCAGAATTCACTCTGAGTATGTAATTTTTCTTCTGTTATAGCTGCATAGTAACTATCTTCTGCGACTTCTTGGACATACAAGTATATAGATAAGTTCTATTCATTTCTTTACCATGAATTACTGAGAACTGTTACTGTACTGTGAAAAATGAGCCATTTTTCACAGTACAGTAACAATTTTCAGAGAGATTCTGAGACTGAAAATTTGATGTTAACATTGGAAGGGATCGTGTGGTGTAGGTTGTGCAATGTGGAATTTGGTTACCAACTCATCATTTGCACCAGGACTGATGAGAACCACAGGAAACCTCGACTGAGTTGGCCAGTTGCAGGAACTTCTGGATGCAATCTGACTCCTAAGCAGCAGTCTGGTATAAGACTTAATTTTTGGAGGGATACTAAATACTACTCTGTCCAAAAAGTATCCGAACTTGGGCTGGGAAAACAAAGTTCTGTATCTGGGTGGTTATAATAGGATCCCTGTTGGTGCACTCCAGCATGTCCTGTGTGACCTCAAGGTGGAGTTGTTGCTGCTCCGGCAAAAGGAGCTTGGGCACAAATTTTTGCCTCCACTCTTCGCATGCCCAGTTAAAATTGTGTTTGTGGAACCTCTGCTGATCCCAACTTCATCAGATACTTCCCGGATGGTCAAACGATGGTCCTCCATGATCAGTGTCCGTACTTTTTCAATGACATCAGCATTTCAACTCGTTGACAGTCTCCTGGAATACTGGTCACTGTCTGTTGACATATGGCCATCTTTAAAGCGGTTGAACCACTCTTTAATTTGAGTGACCCCCACTCCATCATCGCCGAAAGCCTGCTGAATTTTGTGGATTGTTTCCGCTTGGGTATCCCCAAGTTTCTGACAAAACTTAATGCAGTATCACTGCTCCAAGCATTCTGTCATTTTGAGCGAAACAAGAACGCGACAAACACATGTTACACCACTTCGCTATCTGGCAGCCACAGACGCATCCGGCACTGTTGCGAGTCAGCAAAAAATCACGCATGCACATGAGAGTCCCTTCTACCACTATGCTCAGTTTCCCCTCCCCTTTGGCCATTACTTACAGCAGAAAAAAATAAAGTCAGATACTTTTGGACAGCGGTGTACATGGAGTGTTAGTGCACCTGAGGAGGAGTTTGGATGGGATCCACATGTAACTCTCTACTTACATGGGGTGACTTTCAATGTCTAACAGCTGCTTCATGACTTCTATTTTCTCTTTTCCTTGCCCAATGAGGAGCAGGATGCCCATGATGCACCTCACCTGATGCCACAAGTATGCTTGGCCAACCAGTGTTAGTTCACACATGTCATATGCTGGAAACAATTTTCAGATTCTCATAATTACAGAGAAGATATTTAGGCTTCACTGGGTGCAGTTATGACATAAAGGAGTAGGGATAATTCAATCAGTGAAGCAACTGGTTACAGACAGGATAGCCAGGATTCAATTCATGATAGGTACAGAAACGTTTTTCCTTTTATCATTGCATGCAGATCTGTCCTGAGGCTCACTCAACTCCTCATGCAATGTGTGCTAGGGGCTTTTTCCCAGGAAGTACAGCAAACAAGCTGATCCCTTATCAGCAAATAGTTTTGTTAAAAATACACAGTCTGTGTAATCACCTCGCACTATGCCCCCCAGCATGGTACTTAGGCAGAGAGAAATTGATCTTTTTATTAAGGTATGAAGACCTCTTGAACTCTGAAATAAAAAAAATACTTCAACCCTGAAGATGGAGGCAACATATTGGTTTGAAACGTCAGCTGACTTTCAACAGACTACATGGCATTACATCCCAGAAGACAGAACAATTAAAAGAGCAAGACGTTTTTGTTGAATTGAATTGAATTTATTTACATTCTATAAATCCTAAGCAGGTTAGTACCTTTGGATACAGAACATGTCAAAAGGTTACATACATAAGTACAGGAAATTTTACCTTAAAAATTAATATAACTTAATTTTACTTTTTTAATACTTTGGGCAGATTGTTGAACACTTTTATGCCAGTAAAGTAGACTCCTTTTTGATATACTGATAAAGTTGATGAGGGTAGGTGGAAGTTATATTTTTGTCTAGTATTCATGTTATAGACATCAGAATTTAATTTGAATTTATCTTTGTTGTAAACAACAAATAAGAGAAGCGATAATATGTATTGCGATTGAAGAGGTAGAATTTTTAATTTCTTAAATAATTCTCTACATGAATCTCTACTTCTACATCCTGTAATGATTCTAATTATATTCTTTTGTATTTTAAAAATTATTACACTATGTGAAGAGTTCCCCCAAAATATTAATCCATAGTTCATAATAGAATGAAAGTAGGCATGGTAAACCATCTTCAATGTTTCCTGTGACATAAAAGGCTTAATTGATCTCATCGCATAGCAAGCTGCATTTAATTTAGGTATAATTTGTTCAATATGTATTTTCCAAGACAGTGTACTGTCTACATGTATTCCAAGGAATTTTGTATCAAGTACTTTACAGATTAATTTGTTGGCATAACTGATGTCCAGATCAATTTGGTGGTTGTTTTTAGTTGTGAATGATATGTAATGGGTTTTATCAAAATTTAATGAGAGTAAATTGGCTTCGAACCATCTGTTTAAGGCTTCAAATACAATATTTATGTCATTTTTAAAGTTGTCAAATTTAGAGTTCTTAAATATTATACTAGTGTCATCTGCATATAGAATTGGTTTAGATTTATTGTTGATGGTTTTAGATAGATCATTTATGTAGAGAAGAAAAAGTAAGGGACCTAAAATTGATCCTTGTGGAACACCGTGCTTTATAATTCCCCAGTTTGAAAATGCATTATGACTGGAGTTTTTATTATTTATTTCAACTCTTTGATACCTGTTTTTGAGGTATGATTTGATCCATTCATTAGCTTTGCCAGTTATTCCATAGAAATTTAATTTCGATAGTAAGATATCATGATTAACACAATCGAAAGCTTTTGCTAGATCACAGAAAATCCCTCCCACAATTAATCTGTCATTGAGAGCACTTAAAATATCGTTAGTTAGTTCATAGGTTGCTTTTTCTGTTGTTAGGTCTTTCCTAAATCCAAATTGCTCTTTGACTAATATGTTGTTAGAATTTAAGTGTTCAAGTAGTCTATTATACATAACTTTTTCAAAGACTTTTGAGAATGAAGTCAATATGGATATTGGTCTGTAATTAGAGATGCATTTTCTCTCTCCTTTTTTAAAAAGTGGTTTCATTACAGCGTATTTTAAGCGTTGAGGAAAAGTACCTGATGATAAAGATTTATTACATAGATGATTCAAGGGTGAACTGATGTAAACAGAGCTTGCTTTAAGTAATTTGGTAGAGATTTCATCATATCCATGTGAATTTTTGGGCTTAAGGGATTTAATAATGTTTTCAATTTCCTTCCTTGTTGAGAATTTGAGATTGATATTTGGAAATGAATTGTTAAAGGCACGAGACAGATAGTATATTGGATTATTATTATTATTATTATTATTATTATTATTATTATTATTATTATTGGAATATGTTTTCTCAGCTAATGAAAGGAAATATTCATTAAATGCACTTGCGATAGCTTGTGGATTGTTAGTGGACTTCCCTTCAATATTCAAACTTTGTACGTCTTCATTAACAGATTTCTTTCCTGATTCAACTTTCACAATATCCCAGGTGGTTTTAATTTTATTGTTTGATTTTAGAATTTGGCTGTTATAGTTATTCTGTTTGGCTTCTTTAATGACTTTTGACAAAATTTTACAGTACATTTTGTAGTGACTTTTTAGTCTTGGATCATTACTGTCCCTACTGGCCAAATATAGTTGTCTTTTGTGTTTACATGAAGTTTTTATTCCAATTGTTATCCAGGTGGATTTGTTTTTATTTTCATTTTTGACTATTTTTAAGGGAAAGCTTGAATAAAAGATCCTCAAGTATGTGTTCAGAAAGCAATTAAATTTAGAATCAATATTATTGCTGTCAAATACATTGTCCCACGATTCATTACTTAATTTTGTGACAAAATCTGCCATCGTATGCTTGTTGATTTTCCTTACTGTTTTATATTGTTGATTACTGGGCTGAAAGTCAATATTATTTATTTCTATGAGTTGAGCATCATGATCGGATAAGCCATTTATAAAGGGTCCTACAGTATAGTCTCTTAATTTTGAGTTATCAATGAATATATTATCTATCGCTGAACTAGAATTATTTTGAACTCTTGTGGGAAAGTTAACAGTACTGGAGAGATTGTAAGATGATAACAAAGAGTCTAAATTTAGTTTCCTATTACTGTCGATGAGATAGTTTATATTTATATCACCACAAATTATAAATTCAACTTTTGAACTATGCAGTACATTTAGGATGGTTTCTAATCTATTTATAAAGTGATTGAAGTTTCCAGATGGGGCTCTATATAAAGTCAGTATACAAATATTAGAAAAAGGAGAGTCTAACTTTAGAGCACATGCTTCCAGATCCTGGTCTTTGCAATAATCTTCTAAATTTATTTTAGTAAATTTTAGGTTTTCGTGTACAAAAATACTCACTCCTCCTTTCTCCAGTGTTTTCCTACAGTATCTAGCACCTAAATTATAATTTTCTAAGTGAAGATGTTGGCAGGAATGAAGACAATTTTCATCCGAAAAGGTGGATACTCATTCGGTCTCCTTCTGGCAATTAACTGTTATTTTTATCCTCTTTTCTCCCTTAACCCCTCAACACAGCATGTTTCAGTGGACTGCACGCTATGAAGCTGCCCGCACTGCACACAAGATGATCATCCACGTTTTGTGTTTCAAATTGCATGAAAAGTATTTGAACCACATGAATTTTGCTTGCATATTCTTTGAAATGAAGGTTGAGGCTATAGTGTATCAACTGGAAATTAATTTTACTTTAAGTAAAAAATCTTGAAAATATGAACTGTAAATCAGCTATTAACAGACACGGTACTGAGTAGTAAACATTTACTGAGTGAAAATACTGATGGTATTCTAAATAAATCTTTTTCTTACTTTGACGATAATAATTTTGAATCCACTGACAACAAAATAAAAGAGTTATTTCCAGTCCTACAGCCAGTTTTATTTTACCACAGCCTGATATGGGCTGGGATGTAAATTCCCCACACAGATAGCTTAATGATGGAGAAGACTTGTGCAATTATCTCTCACTCCTTTCAATGTTTGAGCTAACAGACAAATTTTCATAAAAAATGGTGAGCACTAAAATATTCATCACCTTCCTAACCTCACTCCGTTTAACTTACTACAACCAGGAAAAGTAATGGGGAGGACATATGTTGTATTGTAGCATTCTATTGCAGTTTGTATTAAAATTTATTTTTGATTTTGTTTCCTGTCAATGTTAAGATTTATAATTATATCCCTTTAAAATTTGCCACTGTAGTGCATGTTTGCACCTAATTGGCCATCATTAGGTGCATTGAAATTGAGGGGGAACTGCTATGCCTTCTGCGCTATTGTGATCGGTATTTTCATATTTATAATGTTTCTAAATGAAGTTAATGTAGTTCCTCTTTCTGTGCCATATGTATGCAGGTCACTCCAAAAGTTAAGCACAACATTTTTTTTTTTTAATTCAGTTTTGCTATTTGTAAGGTGCATATAAGGATCCTTCCTGCTTGTATTCAAATTTCATTCAACCCATTCCCACGTGTAGCACTCCTTCTAAATGGCTGCTGCGCTTGATGTTCATCAAAAGCAATGTGCTGTTATAGAGTTCTTGTGGTGTGAGAATGAGACAGTGGGAAACATTCACAGGAGACTGAAAAATGTGTATGGAGATGACACTGTCAATCGCAGTTCAGTTAGTCAGTGGGCATGCAGATTATCTGGTTAAAGTGGGATTCTCCTCACACTGACAGACCACACCGCACAAACACCTGACAGTGTGCAGTGTGTTAATGATATGGTTTTGGAGAAACCTGCGACTGTGAAAGAAATTTCAGTCAAACTGGGAACTGGGGAAGCAAGTGTGTGCAGAATATTGAAACAGTTGGAGTTGAAAACGTTTGTGCAATGTGGGTTCCAAGGAACTTGACAGATGCCCATAAAGAAACCCGAAAAACTGGGTGCGGTGAACTCTTGGCACAGTATGAGAATGGTGGAGATAACTTTCTTGCGAGAATTGTGATGGGAGATGAAACATGGCTGCACCATTTTGAACCAGAAACAAAGCGGCAATCAGTGGAACGGCACCATGCAAACTCACCCAAGAAAAAGAAATTAAAATCTGCGCTTTCAGCAGGAAAAGTTGTGGCTACGGTCGTTTCTGATTCAGAAGGGCTTTTGCTTCTGGACATCATGCCGCAAAGAACCACCATTAATTCTGATGCATATGTGGCAACCCTAAAGAAACGTCAAGCTCAACTGAGTCATGCTCAACCACATCGGCAGAAATAGGATGTTTTGCTGTTGCACGAAAATGCCCGACCACATGTCAGTCAGAAAAGCAAGGATGAGATCGCAAAACTTGGATAGACAACACTGCCACACCTTCCTTATAGCCCTGATGTCGCACCCTCTGATTACCATCTCTTTGGTAAACTGAAGGAATCCCTTAAGGGAACAAGATTTGAAGATGGTGATGCCCTCATTACAGCCACTAAACGGTGGCTCAGATGCGCTGGTCCAAAGTTTTACCATGCTGGAATACCGGCCCTAGTTCCAAGGTGGTGTAAGGCAGTTGAAAGGGATGGAGATTGTGTGGAGAAGTGATATTTTGTTCCTAAAGGATGTATCAACATACTATATAAGTAGTAAAGGTCTAGAATAAAAATTGAGTTTTTAAAAAAATTTTGTGCATTACTTTTAGAGTGACCCTCATATGTTGTCTCCAAAATGTGTAATGATAGACTGTGTTAGGATTTTCTCTTTATGGAATAGTTCTAAGTTGCATACTGTTTATGCAGTTAAATATGTACTTACTTTTTGGTATGCATGTTATCTATCAAGTGTGCAGTGTGGATGTTATGTGTTGTGGAACTGGTTCTGTTTGACATAGGGAATTGGGGCTTGTGCTGCTATCTGGTGTAGTCTTTCAACTACTGGGTAAGTATCAATGTATACGTCATTCATGGTAAACTGTCTTCTATATATATACGAGGGGGTACCCAAAAGAAACCAAACTTTTTTCTTTTTTTAACTTATTTATTCAAATTTTAAGCACAAACCTTCAATCCCCTTCAAAGTACTCTCCACTTACACTAATACACTTGTCTAGTCTTTTATTCCATTTTTCAAAACACTGTCTAAATTCATCTTTTGAGATGCTTGACAGCGCCTCCATCGTTTTTTCCTTCACCTCAGCAACATCAGCAAAACGCTTTCCTTTCATGTCTCTTTTCATTTGAGGAAACAAAAAAGAGTCGCACGGGGCAAGGTCGGGTGAGTATGGAGGGTGAGGAACAGGGGTCATACCATTTTTGGTCAAGAACTGTCGTACAGACAGGGCTGTGTGAGCAGGGGCATTGTCATGATGGAAAAACCAGTCACCCGACTACCACAAATCTGGCCGCTTCCGCCGCAAACTGTTGCGCAATCTTTTCAAAACTTCCAAGTAGAAAGTCTGGTTAACTGTCTGACCCTGGGGAACAAACTCTGAATGGACGACTCCTCTCACATCGAAAAAACAAATCAGCATTGTTTTCATGTTTGATTTCACCTGACAAGCTTTCTTGGGGCGAGGCGAACTTGAAGGCTTCCACTGGCTTGATTGTTGCTTTGATTCAGGAT